ACTCTAGAGGATCCCCTTGTTATTTTGTTATATTTGTTTGTGTTATTTTGTTATATTTGTTTGTGTTATTTTGTTATATTTGTTTGTGTTATTTTGTTATATTTGTTTGTGTTATTTTGTTATATTTGTTTGTGTTATTTTGTTATATTTGTTTATGTTTTTTTGTTATATTTGTTTATGTTTTTTTGTTATATTTGTTTGTGTTATTTTGTTATATTTGTTTGTGTTATTTTGTTATATTTGTTTGTGTTATTTTGTTATATTTGTTTGTGTTATTTTGTTTTTAAATGAACATGTTAATGATTATACGTTTCTGGTTATTAAAAATCAGGTGAAAAAAAAATTATCGAACACAGAATTTTCTGCACATTTCCAACTGTAGTGATGTTTTTAATGACATTAAACGTGAATATCGAATACGTCTGCTCCAGTCTGATAGGAGTTGATTGACGTCTGCTATTGTAAAGAGAATTCATACCCCCTAATATATTCTACTTTTATTCAACAATCGAAATTCTATGACTACCAATTAATTTCACCAGCCTACATTCTCCCGTTCTCCCGTTTTCCTCTTTCTCAGAATGGAACTACAACATATCAATTCTTATTTATGAATAAATGTTGGATAATCTAGAACAGTGTTTGAGGAGGTGTTAGTGTAAAAAATGGCTGCATGAGGTCAGATTGCACAGCGTGAAACTTTCGAATAATAACATGTCTCAGGTTCTGTTTTAATATTTCTATAGGACAGTTGACCAGTGTTTGTGTTTATATTTTGAATCAGACCAGCACAGACAGGAATATCTTGCTAGGAATGGGAAATATGACAGGAACTTTGTAGATGGTTGATTTGCGATTATTTGAAGGATATATTGATGTTTAATTTGGGTTTTTAGTGAGACCAATGTGTAGGAAAACGAGTGTGAAAGATGGATCGTATCTAATATTTAACGTATATTGTAACCAAACTGAGGACATTAAATATATTCCTATCTTTTCATTCATATTACCAATAATCTGTATATGTTATCAGGGGGGATTACTCTAGTGATATAAGGTCAATGAGAGGTCAATGTAATGTTTTCTAGATCTATCAAGACTGTTTTAAGTTCGGTGTCTGCCATCAGGATAAGATTGGTGTTGTCTAAGATAATTTCTACATAGTTTATTTTTATGTTTTTCTGTGAAAGAAATGGATTGGATATGCAAGTCGTGTTGGTAAATGTTTAATTCTGATATATTTCGTGTTGTTAAATTTAATATGTATATAAAACACAGTTTATTCTGACTCGAGTTTGTTTTGTATTTTGTTGTGTTTATATTTATCTTCCAGACAGACAAAATGGAATCAAAATATTGAAGGTTTTTTTGCCTTCTGACAACTTCGTGTTTCATATATAAAACATGGTTTATTCTTGCTTAGTTTATATTTGTTGGTGTTTATATTTGTTGGTGTTTATATTTTTCTCTAGACAAGAACTTGACATTAAAATCTGTATTTGCTGGAAATCTTGGTTAATTAAAGATAAAACATGGTGGTTGGTGTTGTTTTAATGAATACAAAATGCTAAAACTAAATATTAGACCTGATTTGAGTCCAGATATTCTTAGTTTTTGTAAGTTTTTTTGTAATTGGAATTCAGTTTGATTCTCTAGAGAATGTCTGGTTTATTTTATATTATACAGGTTTTTTTTTCTAAGTTTATAATTTTTGCTGTTTTTATCTCAACGAGCTTGTTTCACCTCGGTTAGTGTCTTGTAAGTTAGTGTCTTGTAGTGTCTTGTAAGTTAGTGTCTTGTAGTGTCTTGTAAGTTAGTGTCTTTTGGAGTCCTAAAGTTGGAGTTTCTATGATTTCTTGATACCTTGAAGGTTTTTATGAATGTTATAATTTATTCAGTTGTTTTGTTTTAGAGTTGATATGTGTTAGCTTCCTATTAAAGTTCTCATGGTGTTATTTAAAGTGGGTTTTTTGTCTTGACTTCCTTGTTTCAATGTAGTTTTTGAAGTTTTTATTTAATTTTTATGATTTCTCTAAATATCTTGAGGTTTTTTTATGGTTTGAATGTTTTCAGTTGTAAGGTATCAATCTACGTTCTAAACAATAGTATTCTTAGTGTAATTTACTTTTTTTTTCTTCAATCTGTTTTATACTTTTCTTTCTAGGCTTTTACTTGTTATTTGGATTAAAATTTTATTTAATTTTTCAGCAAATGGATAATATTAATCTTTAAAATGGATAAGAAACTTTATCCTTGTGGACGTAACTTTTGGACAAATCTTGAATTAAAGTGACCTTCGTTGATAAAATGTGAAAGTAGAAAAATAAGTTTGGAGAAAAATGGGATCGAAATACAGCAGAAGTTGTTATGTTGTTTTTATTTATCTAGCGTTGCTATGGAGTGACATCACTAGTGAGGTCATCAGACAAAGATTAAGTGATAGAATTATTCGAACAAAACAAGGTCGGATACGAGGAGTGGAGGTTAGATTCATTACCCCTGACGATTTGGAACTTAAAAATGTGACAGCTTATCTTGGATTACGATACGGTGATGTTCAGGGGGGACAACTACGATTCAACCCATGTTCTAATCCATCAGAAAGATGGCCGTTTGTAAAATCAATGGTGGACTATCATGCTGTCTGTCCACAGCGTATCCCAGAAGTCACGTCTGATACGACATTGTCGTCAAGGTTTATGAAGAGCATTATTCCCTTTCTACATAAACAAATTGAAGATTGCCTGACTTTAAATATCTACGTTCCTCACCAAGGTAAGACTGCCATTTTTACTGCACGATTCTTTCAGACAATATACAAAATTCTGTTTCTTTTTAAACTTGAACTTTCCCTTTGGTTAGGATTATACAAGATCCAAGTTTATTAAAAAAACCTTTCTGATCTGTGATACTTTTCTCAGGGAAACGATCTTTGAGAACCTAAGTTATTATTCTTGTAAAATCATTACCAAGAGGTTGGTGTAAGGACCAGCTGGTAGAAAGGATCTTCAAGAACCTTAGTTGTTATCCTTGTAAAATCATTACCAACAGGTTTGACCCAGTACCAGCTGGTAGACTGGATCTTCAAGAACCTTAGTTGTTATCCTTGTAAAATCATTACCAACAGGTTTGACCCAGTACCAGCTGGTAGACAGGATCTTCGTGAACCTTAGTTGTTATCCTTGTAAAATCATTACCAACAGGTTTGACCCAGTACCAGCTGGTAGACAGGATCTTCGTGAACCTAAGTTATTATCCTTGTAAAATCAATACCAAGAGGTTTGAATTTACCAGTTACATCACTTTGACATTGTAAATATTAGAACACAGTTTTAAAATGGCGGATGTTAACTTCTGTGTTTTTATTTGACATTTCTATCTTAATGTCAGCAAGTTACAACTTGGAACGATTTTAATCCCAACAGTCTTGTAATTTTATTATCCAATCACATTACTGCTTCAGGGTTGAATTTTTAATTTAATTCTATTAAACAATGAAATTCAAGAATTAACACTCACCTTAGTTTTATTGTAATTAAATTATCCAATCAAATTCAAGTATTTAAGTGTTATTTTAATCTTATTAGCCAATGAAATTCAAGAATTATCGCTTCAGGGTTTTATTTCAATTTTATTATCCAATCAACTTCGAGATATTCTAATCAAATTAACCAATCATATGTCATTGTTGTGATAACCTTTTCTGGTTTCTATCTCTGGAGAGTTCAGAGTGTAAGTCGATTAAGAAAGTTTTTTAATTTGTGTTGAATTTGTCATTTGTAGGCAGAACATTTCTCTCAGGTTTAACGACCAGAAATAATACGGAATTAAAACTCGATAAAACACACATTGAATGTAGATGGTGAAATTTAGAATTTAGAGATGGCTTACTTCTTGGAGCTAGAAAATGGCCATGGTCTAGTGATATATGACATAGCTAAGGTTCTAGTGATATATGACATAGCTAAGGTTCTAATGGTCTAATGATATATGACATAGCTAAGGTTCTAATGGTCTAGTGATATATGACATCGCTAAGGTTCTAATGGTCTAGTGATATATGACATCGCTAAGGTTCTAATGGTCTAGTGATATATGACATCGCTAAGGTTCTAGTGATATATGACATAGCTAAGGTTCTAATGGTCTAGTGATATATGACATAGCTAAGGTTCTAATGGTCTAGTGATATATGACATCGCTAAGGTTCTAGTGATATATGACATAGCTAAGGTTCTAAGGGTCTAGTGATATATGACATAGCTAAGGTTCTAGTGATATATGACA